ATTAATAATTTATCAACTATTCATTAAAACTATTAATTAAAAATTCATTGACTATATTATTAAAACTATTCATTAAAAATTTGTTAATTATTTAACAAAAATTTGATAACATAAATTATAAAGTAAAAAAATTGATGAACTTAAGTACTAATTTTTCTGAATTAAGTTATATTTATAAATTATGAATATAGAACTATAATATAATACATAATATGTAATTTATATTATTGTAATTTTATACATATAAATATAACCAACTAGAATTGTTGTAGAAAAATTTGAACCGACTGCTAGTATTATAACAAATCGGACAGAATAGTCAATAAAAAAATGTAAAATTTTTATATTCATTAATAGCATATACTGTAAGGTATCTCATAACTTCTTCTTTAGCATTGCCTGATGGTAATAATTTATAAGGGGTGAGGAAAAAAAAAAAGCCCTGTCCAGTCGCAGTTCATGGTAAGATTCATATGATAACTGAGTCAAATATTGTGTAACATTAAAAATTTATAAATTTGATGTGCCAAGTAGAAAAAAAAAATTTTTCAATTGACACGATGTCTGTGCAAAATGGAAAGAAGTCTAGTAAAAAGAGGAAGTCTGCAGAGATTACGGATGATTCTTTCGACAGAAGAAAAGCAAAAGAGGGACTTAAAGGCCAGTCGGCTGTTAAATTTGCAAAATTCCCTACGATTCATAAGAACGGCGTGAAAAATTCAGCGGCTGTCTTACAATCGAATGCAGATGTCAAATCGCAACCACAAGAAATTGATTTACCGAGAGGTGGTGCTTCCTCGCGTTCGTCCGTGTTCAGAAAGGAAAAAAAGGTCGATGAGGATGATCTTTTTGATGTAAGGACACTTTTCTTTGACGCATTCCGTGCTATCTTACGCGCTTCTAAAAATCGTTGATTGGAATTTTATAAAGAAAGATTCGGAAGAGCAAGTGAAAATTCCGGTCAAAAAAAGAAGTAGGACTTCCAAATCGAAATCGGACATTCCCAAAGTTTCCGACACGGGGAACCCGGGAAGTTCTAAGAATAAGAATGAAAAGTTTGTAGAAATATTAAACTTTCATGTAAGTAAAAAGTACATGTCCCATTGGTTTATTTATGTGAGGTTCACAAAATTCTAATGTTCGTGATAGCATCTTACCGTCGGTGCACTATTATTTGGACAAATTATAAGAATAAATTCCTTGGATCTGGTTGTGTCACTTCCAAACCAAATGAAAGGAATTGTCAAGATCTCTCACATCTCTGATCAGATATCCAATAATATAGCCAAGGCTGCAAAGTTAGAGGGCGAAGATGATGAAAATTTATTGCCGGATTTATCAAAATTGTTCCACATTGGTCAGTGGGTTCACTGTGTAGTTAGTGGTCTTGTACGACGTGACGAAGCACCTAACAATGCTTTAAAGCATAACCAACATAACACCATCGAACTGAGTTTGATTCCAAAAGAAGTCAATCGCGATCTCAGCCTCTCCGATTTATCCAAAGGTTTTGTAAGTATTAAGTTTTAATTGGTTTGCTTTGAAGATGAAAAAAAAAAAAAATTTTTTTTTTTTTTGGTTAGTCTTGACAAACATTTATAGATTATTGCAGCATCTGTCGAGAGTTTGGAAGACCATGGTTACATCCTTTCTATTGGGATAAATGGTGTCAGTGGATTCTTACATAACAAGGACGCGAAGAGTTATGAGGATAAATTCAATGATGGTCGTCCCCTTTCCATCGGGCAGCTGTTGAATGTTGGTGTCATGAAGATTCCAGACAAACACCGAGTTATCCAGTTCACGGCAGATCCGGAAATTGTTGTGAACTCAGTGTTACCCGAGAATGCCTTGCGTAATATCAACACCATGATTCCAGGAAATTTGGTTAAAACACGCGTAGATAGTATTCTCAAAAATGGTATCTTGTGCAACGTGAACGGCATAGATTGTGAGATCGACATATTTCATTCAGGAAATGCCTTGTTAGGGAATCAGGATGTTAATGAGGGTGACGAAATTCGGGCTAGGGTCATCTATGTGTCAATCACAAACGAAACAAAAAAATTCAGGTTGTCACTTTCCCCGCATGTCTTACGTCTGGAATATTTGGAAAATCGTGATTCTCCGATTGGAACAATTTTCGAGTCGGTCACCATTAAAAAGGTCATCACTAATTTTGGGTTAATAATGAAGATCGAGGATTCGAATATACCAGGGTATATTCACGTATGTCATTTGAGTATGTATGTGTCCCGACCAACATTCGCGCATTATAACCCATTTTCACCGTGTGATTGTTAGGTTTCACGAGTTTCCGATACTCGTGTCAATTCTTTGTCCGATTTTTCTATCGACTCGACACATCGTGCTCGCGTGATCGGCTATTCAGTTGTGGATGGTCTTTTACTATTATCCATGCAGAATTCAGTGCTTAGTCAGAAATATATGAGGCATGAAGATGTTC